TCGCCCCCCCCCCAGCCTCTGTCTGGCGCCCTCCTCCCTCCCCTTCCTTCTTCCTCACGCTCAATCCGCTGCTCTGCTCCACCAGCTCCTGCCCCCAAGTCTACACTAGAGCTGAACCAGACTCAGCGTGAAGGGCTCAGCAAGTCCCCGCTGGCAGCATGGAAAGGATTCAGTAACTACTGCAACTACGCCAGCACTCACTGCTTTCCTTAGACCGCTTCACACTTGCATTGTTTTTGGGTACTCAGATGGCAGTTCCTGGCATAGCTACCAGAAGCAGTGGAACAGTGGTGGAAGGACTGGGTTTAACTAGAAGTGTAAAGGTTACCTGGTAAGCGTGAGCCTTACCAGCATGCTTTCCGGGTAACCAGTAACTGGCAGCCCCCATTCACAGCACAATTTTTCTGCTTCCTATTGCAACTTTTCATGGCTACATTGCTAAATCCCCTGTCAAAAGATAGTGCAAAGCAATGTAGTAAGCTTCCCACACTATAGTGTTATGGAAAGGCAGAGCTGATCCCTACACTTCTTGGGATTATGTACTAAGGAATATCAAAGCAATATGATAGTTACTCCAGCCCTCCCACTGCAGTAGCAGTCTGCCTATTCCTGTATATCTAACAGGGCAGAACAAATTCCAATGATTTGCTCTTTGTTCCCCAAATGGAGCAGCTCACTCAGCTGTCAAATATTTTCCCCAAGCTTTGAAAGGGAAGGAGTGCATGCCTGCAGGGCAGCAGTGGTCACAAAACACTGAACAGATTCATCATGGCAGGCATTGTGGGATACAGGCGGAAGCCAATTGGACAAAACAAACAGCAGAATCCACACTGGCTCTTTGTTGACAGTAAAGGTAGGGGAAAAGACAAAAGTCTTTTGTAGGGTTGGAAGTTTTTTATTGCCCAAATTGGGTGTTTTTCTTCCTACAAAAGGCACATTGTACTGTAAATGCTCTGCTTAGTCTGATTCATTTCATCCCAAACTCCTCACAGTGTAGGGGGGTGCAGAGTAGACAAGGTCAAAATTTGCCTCAGACACTTGATGCCCCTCTAGACCGTCCATGATTCTCTTCGCTCTTCCTAGGCAATTCATTTTACTCCCAGGCTTTTAGCTTGCGGAGAGGTAAACTTATCCACCTTAGCATATATTCAAGTCTATGCTGCCTTGTCTCACATTGTCTTGTAAAACAGATTCGCTTACCCATAATGACTAATGCAGTATTTCTCAACCCATGGGTTGGGACACCAGAATGTTTCAAAGGGGCACCTCCACGAGCCAGGTCACAACTCCATTCACACACATTTGGTCCAATCAGGGGGGCAGGACCAAACCTAGGGGCTACATCACCATTACATCCCTTTTTGTAAAAGGGATGTAAATTAGACGTATCGCAATTGCTAATGAAGCGGGGATTTAAATCTCCCCCGCTTCATTAGCATAAAAATGGCTGCCGCTTGTTTTCCGCACGGAGCTTTGCTGGAAAAAAGCGCCAGTCTAGATGCTGATCTTGCCTTTTCTGAAAGTTCCCCTTAAGGGATCCCCTTAAGGGATCTTTCGGAAAAGGCTTTATTTTCTGCAAGATCAGCGACTAGACTGGCGCTTTTTTCCGGCAAAGCTCCGTGACGAAAAAAAGCGGCAGCCATTTTTATGCTAATGAAGCGGGGGAGATTTAAATCCCCGCTTCATTAGCAATTGCGATACGTCTAATTTACATCCCTTTTACGAAAAAGGGATGTATTCTAGACATAGCCAAGTAGTGCTGTAATCCTGGAGGTTGCAGTGCCTGGAACAGAGAGCCATGCCTAGCTAGCCCCAGAGCACAGAAGCTGCCAATGTGGGTTTTGTGCTTGGCAGAACCCAATCTCCCTCCCTCCCCCTTTTTCACAGAGCAGAATCTTACTGAAATCACTCCAGAATCTCCATCTCCAGACTATTTACCGGGTTGTGAAAAGCCATAAGTATTTATAAATGGGCCCTGAGCCCAAAAATTTGAGAACTGCTGGGCTAATCCATTTTAAACACACTTAAATCCGTATGCCTTTGCTTTGTCCCTTCGTTTCTGCTTTCCTGTATCCTTGGAACAGCAGTATGCTGTTTATTACATCAATCGCTTCCTCTCTTTCTTTCAAAATTCTTCTTAGCAAGTATCCTTACAAGAGGTGAAAGTGAGGGGATGCACCGGGGTGCATAATTTGAACAAGAACTTGCTGAGCTGTGGCAGAAACCAGCAGAGAGCTATTTAATGAGCTGGCAGGGACTCGAGTTGCAATAGTACAGTACCTGCAAGAAATTTTTCACCCCTGTTTACAACCTTGATTTGCTCAGTAATAATCTACCAACAGCATCCCTTATGTGAAATAGATAAGGCACAAATGTTCATGGTGTCTGTCATAGATTATAAACTCTCTAATCCAGCTAATATGCCTTATAAAATATTTGGGACGCAGAATACATTTCTATGACTATATAAGGCTGTTTAGTAATACATCCTTGCAAGATAGTCATGAAAATTCAAAAGTCTAGGCATAAAATCTACTTACCCACTCACACATGAAAGTGATAACTCTTATTTTACTTGTCCCAATCAAGTTGTTAAGTAGAATTTTTAATAATAACAGAGTTAGATGGAGTCACATAGTTTATTGGGTTTTCCTGTTTTAGGGCATCATTCAGTTACTACAAGAATGATTCTTTATAGAAAAGAGTCTGTCTTTGCACCTTTTTTTTAAACCATGCTCTCTTAGGGTATGTCTACACTGCACAGCTATTTCAAAATAAGATAATCTGGAATAGTTATTCCAAACTAGCTTATTTCGAATTGCACATCTACACTTCAGGAAAACCGCAAAATTAGTGCAAGGCAGGCTTCCCTAATGTAGACGTGCTATCTCAATTTAGAGTCCCAGGAAGCACTGGGATGGAATAATTGAGAATGGCCCTGGAGAGGGGCTATTTCGAAATAGCAGCAGTGGAGCAGCTATACATGTCTCATATCAAAATAGCTATTTCAGAATAGGTCTTATTCCTCGTAGAATGAGGTTTACAGATTTCAGAATAAGCCATCCATTATTTTGAAATAATGGAATGGCTGTGTAGATGCTCGCATTGTTATATCGAAATAACGGTGAAGTGTTGACGCACCTTTGGAGACTCTTGGTTTAACATCCTCAATACAGAGAATCCCATCTGTTTTCAGCAGCATTAAGTAGATAGCAGTTTGTATGATTTTGCTCAGATGTGAATACTGAAATTGGGTGAATTGAAGTGAGAATGGCATAAGTCACTCATGCATCCTAATATCTGAGGATCATGCACTTCCAGAAAATGTAACTTGAGTCTGTCTGATGGGAATTCTTGAAATGACATCAATACAGGTTAACTTTGTTTTCTTTCTGCCAGGGCATACCATGTTACAAAGAGCAAGTTGAAGGACAAGCTGAATCCAAAAGCAGAGAAAGCTGTTTCTGTCCTTGTAGTCCTTGTATGGTTCCCAAAAATAAGCAGCCATTGAAGTCATAAGGTCTTCAATGGGAGCTGCTGTATGTTCAGCATTTATAGATGCTTAAGTATGGATTTAGGAATCACCATTAAAAATCTTATCCTTTTGTATTGCATATATATATATTATATATAATATATATATTAAATATATATAATATTTCAGCCTTAGATTAAATAGACTATTGTATATATGGAACAGCACTCTGTTGCTATTCTATAAATGCGTGTGATACGCAGGGTTCTGTGTGGCAATAATGAAGTTTTTTGAACCTGCTGAAATGCTTCCATCAATGTTTTGTTCAGTCCAAATTTTTTTTTCTAGACTGAACGCACCACCACTATTTGGAGGCATTAGATCTAGAGTTGGGATCCAGCAAACTTTTCTAAATAGACCAACACCAACCATCAGCTTCCAGCGGACATTTGATGCCCGGCAAAAGATTGGTCTGACTGATGCCCGACACAAACTGGGAGTTAAAGATGCTCGGGAAAAACTGCTTCAGAAAGATGCTCGGTTCAAAATAAAAGGGAAAGTGCAGGATGCCCGGGAAATGCTAAATTCCCGCAAGCAGCAGAGTGTGGCTGCTGAGAAGGTGACCAAAGTGATGGATGCCAGAGAGAAGATCAGCTTGAAAAGGAGTGCTCCTACTGCTGCAGTTATAAGTCCGTCTGTGGGGACAGTGGCCCCAGCTGTGAAGATCACCAAAACTATTCAGGTAGGTGGTCACTGCTAGCCTGTCATTCCATTCCTATTAGTTGTGCAGGCTAGTTAAAATGGTAATGGTTGGACAGATGAATTCAGATGGTTACAGGGGACACATGTGGGAACTATAGTAATGAATTTTAACCCAGATACTGCTTTTGTGGATTCTTGGTATTCAGAGTGTTTTCTACAAAATCTGATCTTTTATATAAGCAAAAGTGTTTCTGGTCCTTCTAGTTTCCAATAAACCTCTCTACATGTGACAAAGGCATCATTCTGAGTTTCCAGATAGACTGACATAGTGGCACTGAGAGATGAAGCATTCCCATCTTGCACAGAAAAAAAACCCTGAGGACAGTGTAAATACTGTTAACTCTTACACTGCTGATCATTATAGCAAAACACTCATCTGGACAGCATGGTTGGATGTTCTATTAATTGGAAAGAAAAGTCCACAAGAGTAAGATTACAAGTTAGAATATGCAGTTATTTGCATTTATAAGGGATATCTATGGTTTTGGTCTTCAAACAGAACTTTATCTCCTCCTTCTGAGCTTCTCTTCCAGCCCTTTTCCAGCACCAACTGATGATGGTTTGTTTTAGCAGGAACATTCTAGTTTTCAGGAATTTTATAATCTGTTGGCAGGAACGGAGGCTCAGTTTTGCCAAAAGGGACAGAGGGGAGGGGGCAGTGAGATGGTGCTTGGGAGTGAGCACCATAGCCTGTGTTTGTCCCCATGCTCTAATCTCTTTTATGTTTAGCAAGTCCTGCCTCTAGCTTAGCTGGAGCGGGGCCTCAGGGAAGAGGAGAAGCAGGGTGGCAGGACCCTGGAGGGAGAGGAGGAGTAGAGGGGGCAGGGCCAGAGTTTGAATGCTCCTGCAGGGACCCCCCAAATTGGCCAGGGTCCCTGGGCACAAGCCCTGTGAGCCTGCATGGTAATCCACCACTGCCTTCATATAATTTGTGGCTCAGCTAACTTTGCTGGGCTCCAGTGCCACTTACCACCTGCCAACCCTCCAATGAATTACATGTGTACTGGAGTGCAGTGGGCAGACCCAGATGTTCCTGTAAGAGATGAGGGGATGCTAGACAGCTGAAAGAAAAGGAGCTGGAGGAGAGCATTAAATACCCCATGGATAATAAGCACTTACAACCTGATCCTGACCCCTTCTACCTGCTAAACTGTCCTACTCATTCCTAAACACGAAGCTACTGAAGCCTGTTGCTGAATCTCTTACCTGACCATTCTCAATTGCTTCCCATGACTGATCGGAAAAGCCATTTCCCCCTTGAAACTGGAAGACTGAATAAGACTCTTCTTGGAGCCCTGATCTAGCTCTTTCTTCAGCTACAGGTTTTGCTTCAGAGCATCATAACTTGCTCCTTCCTCAGAAAGACCAAAGAAATTGCATATTATCTCTTCAGAGTTCCCAGTTCTTGCCAACCTGAGTGTGAGAAATTGGACCAGACAATAACCTGAGTGTGAGAAATTGGCAACCTGAGTGTGAGAAATTGGACCAGACAATAGAAGTTGGCTCTGTCAGATGGTAGTGTGATGCATTAATCACAGTTCAGTAAAACGTCTCATAACCTTTGATTATTAAAATAATTGATGCATCAGTTCTTGACAGTTTAAGTATAGAGATGTGTATAGAGCTCTCAGCTGTGAGGTGTTGGACTCTTGCAGTGCATGCTTGTAAGATTTAAGTGGCTTCTGAAAACTTGATTCACTTTAATGAGCTTTCTGATATTTTTGATTGACTTCTCTAGCCCTACGGAATTATCTGGTATTCAGACTAAGGAATAGAGTTAAAAACTGAACATGAAATCACATAACTAAAAACATAAAGGAAATCCTACAGGTGATGTAAGATTCTTCATGGGTTTTGCCAAAATTCCTAGCTTCTTGCAAATTCCCCTGCTCATAACCCACAAACTAAACTGTCTTGATTTCCATCATGCAGATAGCCATGCTACCTTGTGATGCACTCTAGTCAGGTCTCTGAAATGAATAGGAGTTGTTGAGTATAATCATTACCTGAATGAGAAGCGTGCAAGGAAACCTCAGGGTGTTGCAGGAAACGGTGTTGGTGATGAGGCAGGAAAAAGATTCTCTGTGAATGTGAATCAGTGACAGAGTATGGAACTAGAGGGAGTTGTGCTGCAGGAGATGCTGCCATTTAGATTAAATGCAAAACTGAGGCTCTGACTGGTTGTGATTATTAAAAGTCATGCTACTTTAAGCCCCACTGTCCTGGAAAAGTTCCAGACTGCTCACAAAGATGATTGATAAACTGTTAAACCCAGTATTCCAGAAAAGGAACCTTTAGTTATTGAATGGGGAAGTTGTAGACCCTGGGTTTATTCCAGTTATACAAGGTACTGGTCAGACTGCTGAAAAGGCTGGCTGTACCAGCTCATGCAGCATTAAATCCAACCGAAAGCTCCAACTAGAGCAGGGATAAGTGCTTCACACCTGATATAGAACTGAACTTTTGCATTACTTGGATCCCTTGTTTGTAGGCTTCTGTGCAGTACCATGAATGTGGTTATGCGCACTGGTGCACCCTACAGCACTAAAGGGCAGCCTGCAGATCCTGTCACTTAGCTGTGTTTATGTATAAGCCCGATCTTAACCTTGCAGTTTTGGAATTAATCTTCCACTAGTCTTGAGCTAAAGCTCACATAATTGGCAGTTACAAATTCTCTACCTAGGCGTTAGCTCTTAATTCCTTTGTTGTTTTGAACTGGCATTTCATACTGAACGCTTACAGCAGAAAAAAAAATTCTGCATTATTCAGTTTCTTCTGTTTCTTTTAACTGGGCCTTTGTCTCTACATCTTACCATGGCTTTCCATAGTATAGAAGGGAGTAGGGACACGAATCTTTATATATTCTTGAAATGAACAAATAGCTGCCCTCTTTTGAGACTGGGAATGGCAGATTCTGGTGTAAATAATTTGACTGTTTCTTTCCTCTGATACCGCAGCAGAAGGCTGCACCCCCAGGGCACACTCATCCTGCAGGAATGAGGATCAATGTAGTGAACAACCACATACACAGACAGGTGAGTTTGATTCACTGGCAGTACTGGTATTATCCACTTCTTGTTACGTGTTTTCCTGAAGGATGTGTATTGTAAGTCTGATGGGGCACCTTTCATTTTCTTCTGGGTTCCAGTATCTTGGGAAAGGAGGAATTTGAATATTCTTTGCAGATTTCTCGCCTGTGTCCCTCTCCTCCAGGCTCTTGTCATAAAATCAGTGCTAATGTTGCACCAGATTATGCCTTTGATCATCTAATCCAATATCCAGCCTGCTAAAATGGATCTGATTGTGATCTGTTCATAAATGACTGGTTATGTTATGTGGGGGTTCAGAACTTTTTCAGAAATTCTGAATACGGGTTGATGATAAGGCAGTATGCTGGATTAGGCTAATCAGTATTTTGATTTAGCCTGGCAGTTTCTGTGTTCTTTGAGCCCTAGTCTACACTAGAGAGTTAACTCCACTTAGTTTGAAATAACAAACAGCGCATCCACACTACCATGTCCATTACAATAAACTTCCGATAATACCCAGGGGATGCCGGATTATCAGATATGCTGGACTATCAGAAGAGGGGGCTATGAAGGGTCTGGGGTGGGGGTGGGGATGCCACCCCAGACCCCTCATAGCCCCCCCTTCTGATAGCCCGGCTCTGCTCCAGGCGTCCCCGATTCAGCCGCTGCTAGTCAGTTTCAGCAGCGGCTGAATCGGGGATGCCTGGGGCAGAGCCGGACCATCGGAAGGGGGGGGGAA